AAAAAAAGACCTCAAACTTAGGTGAAAAGCCAAGAGCGAGAGAAAGAGATTGGACAGGGGGAAGAAAGTGAAGGACAGAAAGGAACAGATATGGGAAGGAAAGATAGAGCAGTATCTCACATGTATCGGGCTGGAGTCCTTGCAGGTACAAAAGGGTCAGATGTCCCCAAGGGTGTGCTAAGGTCTGGCTGTCATGATAATATGATGATTCTTGAGGCTCACAAGCAAAGTACAGGGTCTCTACAGAGAGTCAGAGGCCTGTCTCCCCTTCCTCCTGGAATCTCCCAGGAATCCATTCTCCACTTGATCCCCAACCAAGTCTTTTTTTAAGGATCCCAAAAGGGGGAGATAGTTGGAATAGTGCATCCTATTATTATTTTGTCCACCATTATGCCTAGTTTCCAACACACTAATTTTGGTCCATGAATTTCCAGTCTCAGGCTCCTCTATCAGACATGATCTCACCACCGTCCTTGGGTTGTTTCAGTAGACCTTTTTGATTGAACTAGTCCAGTCTGTCTGTCTTTGCTGACTTTTATAAACAATTTTATGTAACAGGCTGAGTTGAATTTTTGTTACTTTGGTCAAGTTAGAGTACAGGCCTTCTGCCTAACAGATCTCGGGTGTTGTGAAATGAAACAGAAAATGTTCACTGAAACCACTGCAAAATGAAACCACTGAGTTTTGCATAGTTCTGGTCATTTGTAACATTTCCCCTTCTTGTATTCAAATAGCACAAGTGAATCAGTATTCACAAAAGTGTTTCTTGTGCCTAATACTTAACAAAAAATCCTTTTTTGGGTGTGTAAAGACTTCGGCAAGGTATGGATATTATTTACACCACCTTCATTATTAGAAAAACTATAATAACTTTGTAGTTTAGTAGAAAGCCTGGGGCAATTGGATGTCATTGCACCAATCATTAACAAGTGACACGATTGTCTTTTATATGCTGTGGTCAGCTTGGTTGATATCACAATCAGATCTTCTTGTAACTTCGACTTCTGTACAGGTCAGCCCAGTATAACAAACCTCTGAGTAACTAAAGCTTCCAATTAAGTGTTGTGGTTACATCCCCTAATGCTCTGAAGTATTCCCTGTTCATCCAAAAGTCCGTTTACCTATATGCTTCAGATGTCCCTGAAACAGTGTTACAGAAATAACCGAATATGATCAAATAGCCATTCGTTTGTGTAGAATTTTTATTTTTTTGGTAGTAATCGTTATGTTATCATTTGTAATTGTCATAAGGGGAGGAAAAGATGAAGTTTATAGATGATATAATTAATGGCTAAGAAAACATAGTAGTTGATAAGATATGCGGGAAGGAATTTTCCTCCAGGGCAGATTGGCAGAGGCCCTGGAGGTTTTTCGCCTTCCTCTGCAGCGTGGGGCACGGGTCACTTGCTGGAGGATTCTCTGCACCTTGAGGTCTTTAGACCACGATTTGAGGACTACAATAACTCAGACATAGGTTAGGGGTTTGTTACAGGAGTGGGTGGGTGGGTGAGATTCTGTGGCCTGCGTTGTGCAGGTGGTCAGACTAGATGATCATAATGGTCCCTTCTGACCTTAAAGTCTATGAGTCTATGAAAGCGCAGCCTTCATTAGAATAAAAATGAGACTCTAAAAAGTATTCAGAAAATTACTGGAAGTAAAGAGAGTCACATTAAAAATTATCAATCAAGCTATCAGGCAGATCAAACTGCAACTTGTACTTTGTGCTGCCATAACAGGTTTTTTTTTTAATCTAACACTAGTAAAAACTTGAACCAAGATTGTCAACAGTGACCAATGATTTTGGCTGCCTCAATCTTAGAAGTCCTCAACTTGATAAATCTTAAGGGGCTCTATGTTTCAGAAGGTGGATGCTGAACATTTTTGGAAATCAGGCCCCTTTAAGGGGTCTCAAGTTGGGCACCGAAATATTGAGAGGCAAAATAACTCATCGCTTTGAAAGTCTTAGCTTTGCTCTGTGGCCCTATACAGGTAAAACCCTAACTCAAAAAACCAAACAAACAGAAAGCTCACTATATCCTGTGTGTGGCAGCTGGCCCCCCATCACTTTGCATCTCCTTGGATCATGCAGCTGCTCTCTAGTCATAATGGGAAACATTTCCTTGATACCTAACAAATATAACCGGTGCTTAGATGCCTCTGTGATGAGCACCAAATAGGAACCTAGATAGATGGATTAGATATACTCATGTGAATACATATTTGCAAAACAGTTCCCAACATCTTTTTCTGTAAATATATTTGTGAACAAAGTGAATCTGTGTTTGTAATAGAGTGGGTTTGGAAAATTTTCAACTAAATGTTTTTTAATCAAAAAATTCCAATTTGTCAAAACTGAAATTGTCTGTGGGAAAATGTTGGTTTTGATGAATTTCCTGACTTGAAAAAAATGTTGAAAAAGGGTTTTGAAATTGTCAAAAAATGTCCTGTTTTGACATTTTGAAAACAAAAAGTTTCCTTTTTTTTTTTTTGGTTCAAGACAACCTTTTGTTTCAAAATTTTACTTAATTTATACTAAAAAAAATATTAAAAGGAAAAAAGTCAAAAGTTGAATGAAACATTTCATAATCATCAAATAAGTGTTTCGATACAATGTTGTGATACTTTTTTTCAATTTGTCAGTTCAGGAAAATTTTCAAGATTTTGGCTTTTTGTCCCAATTTGGGACAGGGAAAAATTTTTATATATCTTGAAAAGTCTCATGGAATGGGAAAACCATTTCCCATCCAGCCATATGTTGTTTATAATTCAAAGAGATACTCTTCTTCAGGATTGGCCCAGCTCTGTTGTGCTTTTGTTAAATTAACAACTCTAGCTAGCATATCTGGTTAACACATAACAGTGCAATAATATAACAGATGTATCCCTCATGGCGTTTTAGAGCTTCTCTCTTTGAAGGTCATAGCTGTAAGTCAGAGCAATACAGTATATCTCCACAAGCATATAGTATATTAAAATGTCTGGCCTGATGGCCTCAATGATTTGTTTTCCCAAAGACGGTGTTGGAAAATGACCAAATAACCATGAGTGTCACTTCATCATTACACAGAGATGACTGTCTCTGTAAGGGGAAGATGTGTATTGGAATCTGATTGAAAAGAGCCTGTTCATACAGTCTAAAATAAGGTTACATTGTGTAAAATTCCGCTCCATCTACACAGCTGAATTATGAGAAATTTTGTAAATGATTCCACATTCGTATAGTTTTTTTAATTATAGCAAGTGTGGAGCAAAAGAAGTGGATTGGATTTGAAAATCTGGCCTTGTGTTTGAAATGTTGAAATTTGTATTTTGCGGCTTGTAAATTACATTTCTAATCTCCTGCCCCCTTAATCAAAGTCTCTATTTTAATTTAAATATTTATTTTGACTCTCTGCCCTGATTCAACAAAATACTTGAGCTCATGCATAAACCCCAGTTACATCAATCAGACTGAAACACATACCTAAGTGCTTTGCTAAATTGGGATGGAGTTAAGCATATGCTTAACGGCTTTGCTCAACTGGAACCTTTATTCTTAGTAGTGGATTCAACATACCTCATCAGACTATTCAATATGGTCCTAGATTTCCTTTTATGACTAATTTTTACACAACATTTTACATTTATACCCACTTTCAGGCCCCGCTACACTGCCAGAGGAATATCAAGGGACCTTAGTGAAAAGGAGAATCAGGTTCCATATAATCAAATTAACATTTATAACTTTAAAAAAAGATGAAGTGTAAATGTATTTACAGTTTTTTAAAAATATTTGTCACATCACAAAATCATGGGACATCTCATTCTGACTGTACTGTTACCATTCTATTGTGTTCTCTCTCCCATAGTTTTGTAAAGTATTTCATAGTAAGCAGTATCCACTTTACTCATTCTAAAAGTTTGAAATTTCAAAAGTTGATACAAAATTATTTTTAGTTTATATTTCTCTGCTTGTTCACCTTCAAAGATAATCGTCTATTTTTACATTTCAAGAT